CCTGGCCTGTCGTTCCCTCACACTATTGTCCAGACTCTGGTGTATTAATGTCAGTCTGGTCCGCAGAGACCGTCCCATAAACAGCTCTGATGGGGTCTTCCCAGTTATCTCATGCGGCGTGCATCGATACGTGAGGAGAATTCTTGACAGTGTATCTTGAATGGTATCTTCAAACTTCCTTTTATTTTTTTCCAAGGCCATCTTTATCAATTGAACCGCTCTTTCCGCTAAACCATTACTCTGTGGATGGTACGCTGGAATCAGAGTTTGCTTGACTCCATTTCTTTCGAAAAAACTCTTCATCTCTACCCCTGTAAACTGTGGGCCATTATCCGACACCACTTCCTCTGGTAACCCATACGCTGAAAACAATCTTCTTAACTGCTCAATCGTCTTTCTTGCGGTTATCTCTCTCATCGGGATCGCCTCGACCCATTTTGAGTGGCTATCCACCACAATTAAGAAATTCACTCCATCTTTAAATGCAAAACCCATATGGATCCGTTGCCAGGGCCTGTTTGCCCACACCCACGGTCTCCACTTTACTTTACTTGGGCCTGTTTGAGTTTGCTGGCAATTTTTACACCCATTTACTATGCATTCAATCTGGTTGTCAAGATTCGGCCACCAAAAATGCGACCTAGCAACCGCTTTCATTTTGCCCATCCCCGAATGGGTCTCGTGTAGACAACTCAACATATTTTTCCTAAGAGAAGACGGGATGATCACTCGCATTCCCCACACAATAAGCATTCCCTGTCCATAGTTAACTCCAACTTTCTCTGAAAGTAGGGCCTGAGGTGTTCCCCAACTCTTTCAGGCCAGCCTTGCTGCGTATAGCGCTTCACTACTGACAATACTTCATCTTTTTTTAGTTTCCACACCTATTTCTTCTGCTGTAACCGGCAAATCTTCCACGTATGATAATATGAACGTTTGATTCAAAACCGGTTTTTCGTCACTCTCTACTGGCAACTGTGAGAGAAGGTATGCATTTCCATGATCTTGAGTTCTTCGGAATTTAATTTCTTATGTATAAGCAGCCAAAGTCAGTCCCCATCTCTGCAATCTTGAAGTAGACAAAGTAGGAATCCCTGCTCTCGCGGCACCAAAATAGACACCAAGGGTTTATGATCTGTAATCAGGGTAAATCGTCTTCCATAGATAAACTGGTGAAACTTGGTCACACCATATATTATTGCGAGAGCTTCTCTTTCTATTTGTGAATAATTACGTTCGGCCCCGGAAAGTGTTCGTGAGGCAAACATGATTGGTTTCTCTTGGCCCTCGATAACATGGGACAGAACCGCCCCCACTCCAATCTGAGATGCGTCCGTCAACTGATGAATGTATTTTTCATCAGGTAATTTTAAGATTGTGTCTTTCTTTGTATTGATAATTTTAGTAATTTTTGCTTTATTTCCTTCCTGGCGTAGTTGTTTTACATAATCACTTTTTGGTGAATGGAAGATATATTTTGACTATCATTAGCTGTAATTATTAAGGTTTGTTCTTTGGTTTCATGTCCTTCCTTATGAATAGATTTATCTATTCTGCTTTTGACCATCTCTGCATATCTATCTTTATCCTTATTAGATTTAGTAATTTTCGTCAAGTCTCCCTTGATATAAATAAAATTAGTCACTAAACTTTCTTGTATTTTGTTTACATTTTAGTATAATTTTATAATTTTTCAGATACACTATCCTCTATCTGCTTTATTGTTTCTTTCAAGTATTCTATTTCATCTTTACTTAGATTTTTCTTATTGCTCTCGTATTTATCTGAAAAATATCTAAATATTTCAACCAATCGGTTATTAATCAACGCATACATGGCATGTTGACATGGGTAATTTTAACTTGAATGAAGAATAAGCTTTTTTCAAATTTTCAATAATTTGAATATACAAATGATAATAAACTTACAAAAAAATTATAATAAAAATCAATATTTACCGGATTGGAAGAGCGATGCGACGCACGTCAAGTCGATTCGGCCACCTAGCGCTAAAAATATATACATATCGTAATTTAAACAAAGCTATATAAAATAAAAGGATTTAAAAGCGCGAATGTTTATTTTATAAATAAAACGAACTTCTACTGTCCTTACTGCGTCCTTTTATTTTATATGTATAGATGGCGCGTTAAAGCTATATAAGTTAATAGTCCTTAATTAAGCTTGTACCATATTAATAAGTATTATTTCTCTCCCATCTGCTTTCAACACATATTTCATTTAATTAATTATAACTTTTTATTAATATAACTTAAATCTTTATTCTGTTTGTACCATAGGGCAGGCCATAGTTAAATTAGTATAAAATCATATAAATTGCAACACTATTGATTATTTTTAACCACTCTATTGCTCTAAAATATCACAATCTGCCTTATGTAAGTAATAAAGTATGACGTCTTTCCAGTCATCTCGAAGTGACACCAGTTTGCAACTGGACCGCAGGGGAGGGGAGGACATAAGTCACTGACCAATGAGAATCAATCCCCGGGGATCCGGGCAGAGGGAGAAAAAGGGACGTTGGTCCGGCGGTCGACAATTGCGGTTACAGTTCATATTTCTGACAGGCACGCTCAGTACTAGGTCCGTGGTCATCTCACGGCGGCCCTCGTGGCCGCCGTTTTGGCTCCTCCCTGCCCCCGCGGCTTCGGGCTGGGCGCCGAGCTTTCCTCTGGTAGTCCTCAACTTCCCCCCGGTCCTGGTGCCACTTGAGATGTCCAGGGAGAGCGCCTTTTAATTCCAAACTTTGTCCTTACTGTCCCGTGCGGACCTTCCACTCTGCACGCCTTGCCACTCAACCTCGACTGCTTCCAACTCACTTGTTGGCTTACCCGGGTTTACGACATATATATATTATATAAAATAATTAGATTTTTCTGCTTGAATTTAGATCATGTTGAGGATTATGGTAATGGTGATGCAGTCGTGGTTAAAATCTTGAAACTATAATAATAAAATAGTTTTGATAAGAGATTTCTTCATTTGAGCTCAGGAATTTGGTATAAGTAATGCCTGGCTTAAGGCGAGTAAAATAAGGAAACAAAAGATTATTTACATAATGTACAAGATTTGAGCCGGCCAAGGGGGAAGAACAACAACGAGTTTTTTTATAGGGGAAGCATGCCTTCTGGCGGTCGATTTAACAATATTTGATTTATGAAATATAACTTTAAATATAATAATATTTTAATATAACATATTTATATATATTAAAATGAAATCTAAAATCGATATTTGTTATCGCGTAGCGTAAAATCTACAGAATCAATCATTATGAAATTTCGCATGTAGGTAGCAGAAGATTTCGTTTAACATATAGGCTACTCAAAAAACTAAAAAAGTTAATGTGCTTTTTTTGAAAAATAAAAAAACAAAAAGCGTTAGTTCCAGCCTTTTACCGCTTGAGCGCAGCACTGATCGCAACGATATATGAATTTGATTGGTTAAAAATTAACACGTGGTTTGTTTACACGATGAATGTTAGTTTGTTCACACGATGAATGTTTTTAAAAGGCAATATTATCCAATCGCCGGAAGAAAATATTGTAACGTTTTTGTGTTAAATGTTAAAATGTTGTAATGTTAAAATATATTTTTACATTGTTAATTTAATTTGCTGTTGTTTTACACTAACGAAGATGCAAAATTAATTGTTGTTGTTTTTTAGCGTTTGTTTATATAAAAAAATTACATTGTATGTGATGATGATAACAATAATGAATTTTTAAATTAATATACATAATTCATTGAGAAAAAAAAAGAAATAATCAATTATAAAATCCACAAACGTGACAATATATTATTTAAAAATTAATAAATGTTTTAATAAAATTATGTTTCAAAAATATATTCAAACGCATATAACAATATTATACGTTTATAAATCTATATATAGGTGTATTGGATGTTTTCTAGAATCGTTTTACCAAATGTTCGTTAGGCAAATTTTACTCGGGTAAAAACCGGGCGAAGCCGGGTAGATTCGCTGAATATAGTTATTTACAAATGTTCGTTTGTGGCAAGATACTATTCCTTCAACTTCAAATTACCGAGTGGACCAATTAATATTGATTTTATTCAACTTATCGAGTATTTTTAAAGGGACCTGGAAAAAATTTCAAATTATCGAGAGTATAGACAAGTGTAGATTCAATATAGTGATTGGATGTTTGCTAGAATCGTTTTAACAAATGTTCGTTAGGCAAACTTTTACTAGGATAAAACCGGCGATGCCGTGAACATATATATATACATATGTTTGTCGGCTATGCACGCCCTCAATATGTAACTAATCTCGCTGAAATTTGAACAGGATAGAGAGTTAAATCTGGAAGAATTTTTTTTTGTCGCGCTTTAACCAAGAAATATTATAATTAACCAGGTACTGAGCAACAATATTTTTGTAGTCAGAAATGATTATGACAATATTGCTGTATCATGCTTGATTGCAATAAACAAAATTCTTTAGGGGAATATTCACTAAAACAGACCACGGGCGAAGCCAGATAATAACCTTTAGTAAGCAGGAACAAAATTCCACCAGCGAAACATTCACTCGAGCAGAAGATACACGAAGCCAGGTCATCTCTATATATAAAATATCGTTTCTCGGCCTTTTGGCTAAGATCGTGTAGTTTATCTCTATATATTTTTTTATTTATATATATTTTTTTAAAAATATATTCAGTAGAGAGAGCGGATATGTTTGCTCGAAAAATATATTTTATATATTATATAAATATATAACGTAACGAATATTATTATCATTTTTATCATAATATTCTGTGTGTTCCGGAATATTATTATCAAATTATCAATAATAAATATATTGTAAAACGAAAATTAAAATTATACCGCGAATGTTTCTTTTATAAAAATCGAAATTTATTTTCAAAGAGAAATAGCGACATTTCTAACTTTGAGGATGAGGTATGGAAAGGTGAAACATGAAGAGTAATGGCGAACGGAAAAATAAAAAGTGTCCAGGGGCGGGAATCGAACCCACACCCTTCTGCTTACCGGGCAGGTTCGATTCCCGCCCCTGGACACTTTTTATTTTTCCGTTCGCCATTACTCTTCATGTTTCACCTTTCCATACCTCATCCTCAAAGTTAGAAATGTCGCTATTTCTCTTTGAAAATAAATTTCGATTTTTATAAAAGAAACATTCGCGGTATAATTTTAATTTTCGTTTTACAATCATCAGCCGCGTTATATTGTATTTTAAATAAATATATTATCAATAATATTCGTTAGGCAAACTTCCACTCGATAAAACCCGGGCGAAGCCGGGTACACATCCGCTAGTATACTATATTATATATATATATATATTAAAATAAATATAATGAAATATATATAAAATGACACTATTGAGTAAAAATACTAACCAAACATTTCAAAGTTTCTTTCCACAAATTTCAGCAAATTTCCACAACTTTCAATTTATTACAAATCACGGAAATTATAGAAGCTTCTTAAAATTCATTGAGCAGTGCAAGATTCAAGATGCTTCTGTGGATGTGAGGAACAAACTTCTATTCATCTGATGATAAATTGCTCGTCTTCCAAGAGTATAGAATAAACAATGGACTAAATGTATCAAAGCCGTTTTATCACACACACACACACACACACAAAGCCTTTATTAAGACATTAGTCTTATACAGATTCTCCGTACAAGGTCCAATATCAGGAAAAGAACAGCATAGGAAACCAGTAGTTCCGCAACTATATACAATTATTAGTAATAAGGAAAAGTAAGATTTAATATGAAAGGTCGACCCCTCGATTTTTCGTCATCATTCTGTCGTTACGTCATCTGAGGTGTAAGAACAATAGCTTCCAAGTTCTCTTTTCTCTCACTTTACACCTACTGCCTTGTAAAAATTATATAGGGCCTGAGAAACTAGTCTGCTTGTTTGGGCACTGGTTAACATCATTTGGATTGACCTAAGTTGGCTGGTGTCTACCATTGAAAAGAATGTCCTTCTCTCCTCACTAATATCTTGGCATTCATAGATATAATGAGATAGTTCAGCTTCCATATTTTCCTTGCAGAGATCACAAATCTTATCACCCTCTTTGAAAATGTTTGTATGGTTTTCCTTAAAAAACGAATATAGTATTCTCTGTTGTGCGATATAGCGTTTTACTGGGAATGGAAAGTTGCTAAGTAAATAGTTTTCAATTCGGAATGAACTGTGTAAATACTTATAGTGAGGGTAGAATTTAGAATTCTCTATTTTTGCCTGGTCACTTTGAATAGATTGTTCTATTGCAATTTTAGTTATTAAAGGTATTTCTGGCCGGATAATCCTTGCATCGTTGCAGTTAATTAACCAATAAAATCCTGTTGAGTTGAGTATGTTGGCCAAACTTTCCGCAAGTCCAATATATATATTTCTATTTCTTGATATCTCATATAGTTGAGTTAAGCATATATGGGGGAGTCGGCTGCTGTTCATTTTTAGAATTCTAAGTCAGAACCCGAGTGTAAGTTTCATCACCGTAACTCCCAGTGACGTTCTTCCGCACTCCATACGTAGAATAAAACCAGGAGTATATCTGGGTAAATTTAGAAGTCTCCGTAAGAAATTGTCTTGTACCCTGTCAACCAAGTTTTTTTGGTTGTTTGCCCAAATTGGAGCTGCGTAGAGCAAGGTTGACAGAGCCATTGAGTCTAGAAGCTTTAGTGAGGATCTGATAGAATTGATTCTTGTTTTAGTCGATATTGCCCAGACCGCATTATTAGCATTTAGCGCCTTGTTTTTAAAATTCTTTGCCGCCTGTTGAGTTGAGTTTGACGCTGTCAGCTGGTAACCCAGATACGTGTATTTAGATGTTATAGTGAGAGGCAATTGTCCCCTGAACCAAACATCCGATCGGGCCTTTCGACCTCCATTTCTAAACACCATAACCTTTGATTTGCTCTGATTCAGCGTTAAAAAATTATCTTCGAAGTATTTTCTGAGTACATTGATCTTTTTTTTGTAAATTTATCTTGGATTCTCCGAGAAGTACGATGTCGTCTGCGAACAGCAGGAGATGTATATTTCCATAATTCGGTAAATAAATACTTGGCAAATCAGCGTCATCGTACAGAGAAACCAAGTCGTTTAGAAAAAGGATAAATAGATAAGGTGACAAGGGTTCACCTTGTAGAACACCAGCTTGTATTTTTATAAATTCTGTAAGTGATCTATTCCATCTTATTGTTGCTGACATTTGATTATAATAGCTTTTTATAAGGCTGATAAATCGGGTACTTAAACCGTAAACTGTCAACTTTTTCCAAAGCAGGGAGTGTGGTACTGTATCAAAGGCCTTTTTGACATCTACGAAGAAGGCATATAACTTCCTCCTTTTGCGGCTCAGCGTCATCTGTATCAGTGAGGTAAGGGTAAAAATATGGTCTTGACAGGAATATCGACTTCTGAAGCCCGCTTGGTTTTCCGCTAAGATTCCCCTTTTTTTCAATCCAATTATTCAATCTTGTCTTTAATATGGATGTAAAGAGCTTTGATAAATTGGATAACAATGATATTCCTCTATAGTTTGATGGTATATTTGGGTCGCCATTTTTGAAAATAGGATGAATAATTGTTCTAGTCCACACTGATGGAACCGAGGATGTCGTCAATATTTTGTTGTATATATTTGTTAATAGAATCAAATATTCGTCAGGTAAAACTTTGATTGCTTCATTTGGTATGTTATCCAGTCCCGTTGCTTCATCCTTCCCAAGATTGGATATTTCCGTGGTGACCTCCATAAGCGAAATTTCAGCATCCAGATCCGGGTCCATATATGTTAGCGCCAGTGATATATACGCGTCCATTATAGGTGGGGAAGACAGCAGTCTTCGATAAAAATCCTCCCAATCACACATCGGGATATTGCCTTTAATTGTGGTTCTTTGCTTAAAAGATTTTATTATCTTCCAAAATTGAGAAGCGTTTCTAGCATTACACAGGGCATTCTGTATATCATCCAAGTATTGGTTCTTTTTAAGTTTAATTAATGATAAATATTCTTTCTTGCATGTGATAAACAAATCTTTGTTAACTACATTATTTTGTAATAAATACAGTTTAAGACTTTCTTTCATTTTTTCTTAGCCGTATAACATTCCTCATCGTACCACGGCTTAGACCTCAAACCACCAGATCTTATCTCACGTCTCATCCCTGCTCTTGACATTGCCGTTTGGATTTCAATTGTAAGCCTTTCGACTTGTGAGTCCAATGTGGAGCCCGTCAATGGTAAAATGGCTAAATCTCTCAAGTTGCCTTTAAAAGATATAGCCTTGTCTGCAACCCAGGAATACTTTGTTCCAGGACAAAACTTCGTAGAATCTTTTGACTTCATGTTATCTAAGCCCTTGAGTTTTAAAACAAGTGGTAGATGATCCGAATATGGCATGCATTCAACACTTAGATCAACAATGAGTTCCAGTAATGCCGGTGAGACAACAGCAAGGTCTATAACTGAGGATCCTTGACTTGAGATAAAAGTAAAGTTTCCATTTCTGTCACTAGTAGATCTACCATTCAGTATAGTGAGGGAATTATCATCGAAGAAATCAACAAGAGTTTCTGAAAGAGATGATGAGACCGGATCGCTAGAAGCACGGCTGGCAGAAAGCAGAGTCGGGGTATCTAGCAAGTTATGAAAATCTCCAAGGTCACCGGTGCGAACATTTAGATTACCGTATAGAACTATCTCAAAACCCTCCTGGATTTTATTCTAAATGTAACTATGTGTTTGAATTGGTGGTAAATAGACAAAAATCATACAAACTAGTAGTGAATCTGCAGTTGGAACTAATTTAAAGATTGCTGAAATCCATTGAGATTCCACTTCGACTTTTTCAATTAATGGTTGGATTCTTTTACTGACTCCCATAATAATACCACCTGAACTTCTCCCTCGTTTTAATGTGTTTAAAGCCGGTGAGTGGTAAATTTTGTAGTTCTCAACTGCAAAGTTCAATGGGTTTTGACACCAGGTTTCAGTCAAAACGAAGATGTCGAACTGTTTGAGATAATCAATAAGAGGAAATACGGAAATCATTCTAAAGAATCCATTTATGTTCCAGTAAATAATTCCAGAGGGCTTGCCATTTGTTGTTAAATAACTTTTATTTGAACGAAATAAGTGTTCATGCTGCAGCAATTGGTTGGGCCGTGATTCAGTGAGTTCGCTATCGGTGGGTTGCTATATTACGTCCCCGCTGGCGCTAATAACGCGGCCATTAGTAGAATAATAGTTTATGCCACGTACAATTAACTTATTATCTCTAAACTTGAAGACAATTCCCTTAGAAAAAAGCTCTTTTCGTTTATTAATCAGTATTTTCCTTTGCTCTCTAACAGTGGCAGGGTATTCTTTGTTCAAGAATTTCTTTTGATCCCGGAGTTTAAATGCGTTTCTAAGTAACAAAATTCGTTGTTTGTAGTCAGGCATTTCAATAAGGAGCGGTGAATTAGCTTTTCTTGATAATCTTCGGCATTGCTCTAACCCAATCTCCTCGGAAATCTGCATTGAACTCGAAATCAGATTGAAAACACGGGAGCGAGATTCGTCCGGGGTTTCATTTTCAGTTCCTTCGAATCCGTAAAAAAAATAGGTTTCTTTCCCGCTGCTTCATCTCACAATGCTCCAGGCGTCCCTCAAGATCAGCTATTCTTTTTGAATTGTCCGACGCAGCCTTTGATGTAGTTTCGAGGGAAGTCTCAAGCTGTTGTGGACGCTGATTTATTTTCTCTAATCCCTGTTCCACTGAGGCAAATCTAGTCTCGATTTTTTGTCCCCAGTCATCCATTTTGGCTGAAAGCGCTGTGATTAAACCACCTATATCTTTATCTTTATCCCATTCTAAAGTTGTTTGTCTTGTAGATCTTGGGCCTGGATTTGACTCAATACCTGCCATAAGTAATAGCATTATTATAATACATCTACGTTTGCTTTTTCCAGCATAAACAAATGTGTTTGCCTTTGAGTACTTTGCATAACAAGTTACAGTTTTGCTGCTTAAATTAACAT